ATGCTTACAGGCTATTTGCACACTTAAGCTAATGACATTTCAGGGCTTGCTAGCTGCAGGCTGGGGAGAATAAACAAAATTTTTTTTAAAAAAAAAAGTTAGAGCTAGTAGCAAAGTTCGGCCAATTCTGACAGATTATCTACATATGAATATAGTTTTAAATGAATTTTAAAAATAATCAATACTTTTGTCATTCAAATAAACTTTATATAGCTTGATGCTGTTCTTACTGCACTCAGGCTGCTAGTAGATTACTTCTGAAGAAAAAAAATATTCCTACACTTAATTTTAGAAGCTTAATTTCTTGTTGCATCCAAGAAACATAGTCCAATGTAGTTATGTTTTAGAAATCCAAAATCTTGGGCAATGTAATTCTCATGTAGATTAAGAGTTTTTCAATTGACTGGCTTTTTAAAAAAATCAGTGTTGTGAAGAAAGAGTAATACACCATATAAACTACAGAAAATCGGCACCAAGTAAAGCAGTGGCACAAATTAGAACACGCTGATGTGGGTGTAAGGTAAATCTTGTCTGTGAAAATGGAAAAAATGTTGACACATTTAATAATTATAATGCAAAGGTCACAGATACTTTCTTTAAGTGGTTGCCCTTATTTTGTAATAAATATCCACCATACTGCTTTGAGTTTTGGCTTAGCTGGGCAGGCTTCTGCTTAGTCTCTCAGATGCTCAGTTCTGGTTTTCTGTCTGGCTAATCCCTAATCTGTATTTATAAGGTAATATTTTGAATAATTTTCTCCTGTATTTTATAGTCTTATCGGTACAATTGGGAAAGAAGGCCTACAACTGGCATCTCTGTGCTGCTACTCCGAGGAGGCTGCAGTAAAGCCACCCAAAATATTAGTGGTTTTTTTGAGCTTAGCTGGAGAATTCTAGGTGCAAGAATAGTGTGTGCTAAAAAAAGTGCAAACAACAACAAAACAAAAAACAAAAGCCCCCAAACAGTCTGGAGAACAAGGAAGACACTTCCACACTTGGCAAGATTTTCAGTGGTTCAGGTGGAATAATGATCAAAAAGTAACCTTTACAAGCTACAACATCACAAGGTTTACATGCATGACAAGATAGAAAGGGGAAAGTCTAAAGTAATCATTTTCATGTTAACGTTTGCCATGTTAAAAACTTGCCTTTACCTGTAGTAGGAAGCCAGGTTTGAGTTGCAAGTTACTTTTGAACGTTGTTGCAAACTACTTCTGACTGTTAAAATATGTAATATGTTATTGGAAACAGTAAAAGCTCATAGGCTAGTCAAGAAAGGACACCTCTACGTAAATTTTTCTGTTATCTTATACTTGAACAATAATATATAAATATCAAGTGTGTTCATGTAAGACTATTACTTGTATTCCTCATCTTTCTTGAACTATATTTTTATATCTTACTGAAAAAATTATTCTAGATCCCCGTGTCCGGTGCTTCTAGTAATTGCTAAAGAGATACTCTTATGTACTGGAAATTTCTAAGTATTTTCTACAGTTAATAACTAGATATCACACCTTAAGGATACAGTGCCACTGAGAAAGAAATTTACTGTAATAAAAACAAATTTGTTGTCTTTAAACTTATTTGGAAACACTTTAGAACTTGCTTGGAGAAACAGCAAGTAAACTGAAAAAAAACAGTGAGGATATATATTTAATTTCATATACTGGTAATATGGTGTTGACTTTCATGTAAACATGCTTTAAAGAAAGTGAGAGCCTGGGATAGTGCTCAGAAGTTAACTGAAATGCTTATTTAAAAAATATAAAAAATATAAAAGCATATAAAGAACAAAAGAAGAATTTTAAAGCATTCTTGAGAAAATGTAAACACTGTAATTGAACTTTTCATTCACTTAAAAATCTCTTTGTGAACATGGTGGATCATAGTTTTTACGTCCCTAAGTGTCCAAAACCCAGCATTTAAAAATCGTAGTCATTTCAATTAACAGAGAGGTTTTCTTATCTGAATACCAATTTTGGTATCCTCAACACCAAAATCAATCTTTATGTGACAGAAAAGAAAGACTGTCTTTTGTTTCTCCTGTTAATGCTAAAGGCTGTACCGTAGCCTTTTTTGCTACAGGTAGGTCCTTGTATATTTTTTTTAACACCCTGCCCAATTTCAAACAAATTTGACAGAGGAATAACAGACTCAGAACTCCTGAAGTTCCCATGTGTTTCAAGAAAATAGATCTCTGAGGTGTTGAAGAAAGGGTTGCTTTTCGTACTCTGTTGGCTGCGGGTGGTTAAGAATTCAAAGAGGGGAGAGAAGTTGTGAATACTCTATTTTTTGGGAAAAGCTTCAAATGGAGCCCATACTTTTTAGATGCTATAGAATCCAATCTCAAGGCATACAGCTAATGCACCCAGAGCTTTGGGTTATCATTTTTTGACACAGCAGCTATTCAGTCCTGAATCTGGCTTTCCTTGAAAATCCAAGAGGTTATTAAATGCATAAATCAAGATTTTTCAGAGAAGAATAACTTAAATTAAATTCTCTGTATAGGGAATTAAATAAAAATGGTCCATTTAAAAAACTCTGAACTTTCACTAAATGTATTTATAGTAATTATGATTGTCTGTTTGATTTTACAGACAGAAGGTGGAAATCAGTATCCGCTAGATTAGAATTAATTCTTTCTTCTGGCTCCTAAGATAGATTGAAAACATTCTATTGACTTAGGAGACCAAATTTGCTTTTTTATGATTTAGGTGTTTCTCACCAGAACCCAGTGTATCAAAAAGACAGAACAGAGTCTGGTTTGTGCATGTATATTACAAGGTTCCTTTACATTTCTCTAGAAATCTGAGCATTTGAAAATCCAAATTCACAGTTTTTACATGCCTTAAAGCTGATGTAGATTAGTTCTTTAGACCTTCATCAGTATTCATTGAAATTTGTATTTGCGGAGGGGAAAAAAAAAAATCCCTTGGGAAACCATGTTTGTTTTCTGCTAAGCTGAATGTTTCCCACTTTCCAAATCATCACATACGCATTCCTCTTCTGCATTAAGCTCGTTTCTCCAGTATCCTTTTAAATGTCCTGGTAAACATTACTCTGCCTGCAAGAATCACTGGAAGACCTGTAATGCCTAAATGATCTTCCCCACCTTATTCGCTTACTGTTCACTTTCTCCTCACCTGCTGTCTGCATCTTTCATGTAAGCCCATGGGGCTGCGTGGCTTTCCATGGAAGGTACTTCTACAGTCACCATATGCAATACTATATCTGTCATGGTTTATATTGTCTTCACTTGGGAAAAGAAAGATGCTCATGCAAACATTATGCAGTCTTTTTAATGGTTAGTACAGTGGTGGAAAATAGGAAAAGGTCATGAGAGGTGCTTATTAAGGTGCAGCTGGAAAAACTAGCAGTAATGGCATGAGAGTTTCAGATTAGTGCAATACTATATTTAGCATACCATTTAATGTATTTTGTAGGTAGAAAATAGTTCTATTTCTCTTGTTTAAAACTCAGATTGGAAAATTAGTGTTGTGAAAATACTGTGTATTTGCAGTTTAATTCTGACCTTTTTAAATACCCCTTAACTCAAGCAGAATGACAAGTCAAGGCTCCATCACCTTGCCTTTTTTGTTATTTAAGATGTTATTGTCTTGTCCTCTTCCTTCCCTCCCATGCCTCACACACAGAGGTTACAATTCTTCATTCAAAGCTTATTTGATGTTTATCATGTATAGTAATTGCTGTAAAAATGCCACTTGTGGTCGTGGGTAGCATTCATGAAGTATATGGCCTAATTTTTTAAATGGATGTTTTACCTAGTAAGTATACCTGCATAAATAGAAAATGTATCATATATTATTCTTGTTTACATGTAACCTGATGTTCTCAAATCCTTTATCCTTGTTTGATATTTTGTAAAAGAAAAAGAGAATGGAAAATGCTCTGCCTAGGCATAGTAAAAATATGAAGCTGGAGATAATAATAAAGAAAAGCAAATACAAAATGTTTAGTGATTATCTAGCCTTTCCTGATGGGCTCAGTAAAAGATAACTTTTCTATAGGGACTAATTCATCATTATATCTTATTATACTAGTTTCCCCCTTTTTTTTATCAGTGGATTCCAGAGAAGATTTTTAAAAACTTATCTCCTTGGGAACCATGCAAATTGACTTGCGGCATAAAATTGTGTAGGTGATTATACGAGACATACACAAATTGAAATTAAAGTCTCGTAGTTCTTTGTGCAAAGTTATGGAAGTAAGACTGCACAGAAAATATTGCAAAACACTGTACTGTTTCCCTCTTTAGTTCCCCTCTACTACATTTTCTACTTCTTAACGTGTAAACACATATATACGTGCAGATGCACACACACATGCATACAGAGGAATAATCTTTGCAGGAAAAAGAATACTTTGTGAGGAACTTCTTTTGAAATAGATTATAGTCTTTAAGTTTTCTGTGAAAATGAGGTGATTCTGATCTGCATTGTCTCTTTAGAGTTTCAAGTTTTCTATTTACATAGTGAGGTGGTGGTGATGAAGAGAATTTGGCAGTAGCGTGAAGAACCAGCCATTTTGTTGTGTAGGTCAAACCTTGACATCTGGGCTGTGCTCTGTTTTAGTTCCTTTTAGACTTACCTTCCAGTTTTCTGTTTC